TCATGAAATGTTAAATTGTCTTGTGATATAGGCATTGTTTTTAAATGCTTTATTTGCAATAAACTGTTGAATTGAATTGTAAATATTAATAACAATAATAAATCGGAGACAGGCGATACGAAATGTTTCTTGTCCTTTATTTTACAGATGTTTGATTGATCACATTGACATAAAGCCCGAGCTAAAATGTGCTGATATGGTAAATTTAGCGTGATCAATAATCAGTGTCTAACTGAGCACTGCATATCCTAACTGAAGGTCTAGATATAAAATACTTATTATAATATAAGTATGATTAATGATTTAGACGCTTATATCGAGAAAGTAATAAAGCTTAATTTATCTGAAATCAAAATTGTTTCTTATGAAAAAAAAATGCTTTTAAATATTTTTAAATTTCAGAAAATTGTATAGTTTATGAAACAAAAGAAAAACCAGTATAAATACTTAAACAGCCCAATGATGACAGGGATAAACTTGTTAGTGATCATACAAAAGTAAGAATAAAATTATTCCACTACTTATTTACAAAATTTAGGTAAAATGCTTTACAGTTAACTTATCTTACAGAAGAATCAAACAAATTTCTAAACGAGGGGGGAGGGGGGGGGGCACGATGGCACTATGAACAATAAACTTTTCACTTACTGATTGAATTATATTGAAATTGAAATATAAGGAAATAAAAATATGATAAAAAACACGTATAACTGAAACAAATTGTTCTTGCATGAAATTAATAATGACGTTACCTGTTTTATGCAAGAAAATATTGCATGTTGCTTTCAGGCTAAAGTAGTTTTTCACAAGGCGTTACCTTGCCAAGAATCCTGCTGGAAAATCAATATTCAAAATTTTGTTATTGCTATGCTGGCATTTTAGTTGACTGTTAGTAAGATTATAATAAATTTATGCAAATTTTCAGTTACATATACCTTTTGTTATTTATTTTTTATCTTAATTTTTAGCAACAAAACATGCGTTTATGTATCATTCACAATTAGGTAGTAACTCTCCCCAGTCGAGCAATCCTTTAAAAACTATATATATATATTAAGATAATTTTAAAACTGATAATGTGTTCCAGCAATATAAATATATGCTCTATATGTACATTTATTTTATTTCCATTTCTGTAAAGCTTGATAAGAGACAATTGTTTTTCAATGAGTTTTTTCCCAGTGCATCTACCAAAACATATGTTTAACATACGCAACGATTAATTTATTTTATGTACATTTGTAGATCGAAGCTTGTACTATTGTGTGTTTTAAGCCTCAATCAATCAATCAATCAATCAATCAATCAACCAAAGAATAAACTGTTCAAATGCTGAGCTGCAAGCCGCCAAAACGATAACAATATTGCAAAAACACTGTGATCGTTTACATATTTTTGTTTCAGTTATTGAGTTATTTCTTCACAATAAATACACACATAAAGCCGGAAGTAAAATGTGAAACTATAATAAACATATCTAGATCGATAATTGATATCTAACAGAGCCTTATATTCAGACATTCCCTCTATAAGTTTATATCTAGTTATTCAATTATCAATATTGCCATTAATTAAGAAGAGTGTAACAAAGTTGTGAGAAAATTGTTATATGTCTGAAGTCGAGGATTTTTCTTATAAAATTACCTCCAAACATTTGACATATCAGAAAGTTTCGGATTTTTAAAACAGAAGAAAAATATATAAAACTGCTATAACTGCGAACAAAAAGCACAATACCCTATCCTCATATTGACTTAATTATATTAAAATAATTGGAATTGAAAATATAATAAATAACAAGTGATCAGTAACGAATAGTTTTAAAAGATCCTGTGACACAATCTTTCATGGTTTTATATCATTAATGTGATGTTCAAGATTCGTCAATATTGTAAGTTCCATTAAGCATTATTTGTAAAGATATTACCGAATTTAAATTTCATGGAAATAAAGGAAGGTAATTAGAAATGAATGCATATATTTAAGTGATTACATATAAAGCGATTAAACATTTGCAGAACGTATTTTATATATTCTTGGATGTTTGAAAATTGTTTTAGAAGAAGAATAATTATATACATAGATAAATATAAATCACTTAAGTGTTGTAACATCCTGAATTGCAACATACAGGATCTTTGATAAAATGCATAGCATGAAATGTTACCTGCTTAATGTAAGATAATATTGCATGTTGCTTTCAGGCCGAGGTAATTTTTCACATGGTACTGCCTTGCCAATATTTTTTGTTTATTGCTATGTTGGCATGATACGTGTGAGGCAGTGTTTGACTGTCAGTGAGAGTGGAATGAATGCATGCTGAGTTAAAGTTACATATATTTATGTTTCTCAATTTGTGGGTTTAATTTTAGAATTTAACTACAAAAATGTTTATATGCATCTAACAACTTTATTTTGTCGCACAAGATTTTAAAACGATTTGGAAAATTAAAAGATCAATTAAAAACTGATCATGCATCACACGTTGACAATATATATACACTATTTATTTTATAAACATTTCTATATAGTTAGACAACAGAAAATTGTTTTGTTGTTGCTAAAACACACAAACTCATCAATAATCGCTACTTTGTATATTCAGTTCATTATCAACATTGTAACGCTTAAAGACAATGGCAACTGTCCTTCAAACGACATTCCTAGTAATAATATTTGTTCTGGAAATGTATGATAACATTAAAAGGTCGTTATTGTATGCTTACATTGATGTGATTATCGGGAAATTTTGAAATTGCTAAGCGATATTTATTGATTCTTGTTGCATTTGTAGAACTCCAGGAAATGGCAACTGACTACTGACAGTAAAAAATGGAGAAGATATGTTTTTTAGGGCACACGCTTTTTATTACTTGGGGACCATACGCCGCTTTTCATGGAATGGCACGGAAGTGTCACATTGAAGGTTCCATGATAACCGCCGTATGAACACATCTGCGGATGTTTCTAAATTCAAAATTTTACCATTTCATGTTTAAATGTTGAATTCTGCTTAAGCCGGTGCTAAGGGGCGTGGACGGTAACTTGCACTTTCCAGTACCGTCCATGAACAAGCTCAATCAAACCGAGCCTGCAACATTTTCAATTTTGCCGTGTTAGGCTTTCTTTAGGGATTCTGTTTTTATCTATTTTATAGTATAATTCACTAAAATACATTTAAGTTATATGCAATTGTTTACAATGTATTTTCTCATACAATGATTTGTTTTGGAATTTAAAAAATGTCAAAATAAATGTATGAAATGATCAATATAAACATGCACAAATTTTGTGTGTCATAAATGTTAGAATTCAACACAACTGTGATTGTACGTTGGTTTTTTTAAGGACGTTTCCTTTCAAAAATTATTTTATTGATTAAAAAGCGTTTAATTATAAGATTCAAATTTGTACCCATACTTTAAATAAGTAAGTAAGTACTCTAAGTCTAAATATAGATATTAATATGGTAAATGATTTAAAAGAAACTATCGAGAAGGCATGTTATCCTGAAAAATAATGGAAACCGAAAATGTTTCAAATCTGAAATAAAAATTGCTTTGTTGAATTGTTTCTTGACATTTTAAATTTTGAGAAAATATCAGGTTTTTGGAACAGAAAAGGGTTCATTAGAACTGTTACATTGCCTATAACGTCACGAACATGCAATACGTATTATGAGTGTAGGTTTAATACTAAAATTACTGAACGAGTTGAATAAAATCATATTATGCGAGTTCAATAAATTAAGTTTTGAACCTATACATATATAATATTCTTTTTATCACATACCAGAAATGAGAACGGTTTATAGTTAAAACGAGTCATTTTCATTGACGCGCCTACAGTGTAATGCTAACATTAGCGCACTTTAACGCTACGTTTATATATAGTACAAATGACGTCACGTCGAAGTGTTATTACACTAGTGTAATATCGTTTTTATTTGTTTGGGTCGTCAGACCAAACAAATAATGGTAGCGAAATTTCAGACCCTGATGTGCTCATTTGCAAATACCGAAAGTAGTCCAAACTTTTCGAAGCGGTTACTTCCCTTTACATGAAAAACTAACGCCGATAAATTTAGGGGAGATCACAGCGTAAAGATTGTCAAATGACAGGCGCATTAATTTTCACGCCTTCTTGGACAGAAAAAAAAGTTCCCAATTGGTCGAAAATTACTAATATTGTGTTATTCTTTATAGATATGCATGCTTATATTAAGCTCCATGATTATTTACATCCTTGTTAAACAACGTTTACCGTGAACAAATAAGGGTTACAAGCCCTGATTTTGAATAATGTGGTTTTCTTCAGGCTATTATCATCTAACTTCACCGTGGTGGAGGGGTTTATACGCTCGCTTAGGAAGCGAGAGGTCTGGAATACAAATCCCAGTTAAGGCAACACATTTATTTTGAATTGTGTAAGCCAAATGAATATTGTATTGAATAATATCAGTGTTGAAATAAGTCTTATAGCCAATTTACTAGAAACAGCATTGGTGGCTCTACACACATTGGTTTATTATCTCACAACCTTCACCTTTCTGACATTCTGAGACCAAAACAAATTAAGCGCCTTCTGTGCTTTGATTGTTAAATGGCTTTTTAGTTGGGACGTAGTCCCAACTAGTGCACTAACAAACCCGAAATTTCCAACCATACAGGGTAACGCCCACTGCTGTGACGTTTCATCGCCACTCTATATGCTATATTGTATTCTAACATATCAAAGTAAGCTGAATTCATAGTGATCACCCGACCATGACCGACGCATAACCGCCGCGAGTGAAAAATAGTGCTCTGAATTTCTGAAAACTCCGATTTATTGCGAACAAAAGTGCAGACAAGAAATTTATTTTTTGAAAATAATGTGCAATTGAGCTTGAATTACGGTATTTGAAACGTAGCGGATATAATTTGAAAGGTCACATAATTCTATGAATGGGCACGGATTTATATTATTGTTATATAAATCCGTGGAATGGGATAGTAAATTAATTGGGTCATAGTGCTTGACGGCTTGCAATATTTAACTTACTCATCCGCCTTATCATCACATTTTTTGTATTATATTCCAGAATTTTTGAAAAAGACATTATTTATCGGATAAATTTTGTAGTTTATAATTGCAAAGTGGATATTGAAATAGAATTAGCCAGAGATGTAGATAATCTATTCGTCTCTGAATTAGCCGATAATTAGGTTAAATGAATCCGACAACTTCCGGTATATTTTTCGACCTACTTCACGAGCATAATTATCAGCCTGTTAAGCTCATAAGGTATGTTATAAAGCAAAATATGTTATGAATTTGATGACTAATAATATTAAGTTTATTTATTGATGCCAATTTGTTTCCGAGGACTAAAACTTTCGTAAATAATTTCGAAGTAATTTGGAGATCTCGAGTCTTTCGTACCCAAGACATTTCGATCATATCCCGGAACAACCAATTTTCAATAACAACCTAAATTCAAACACATTCTTAATTCTGTGGCACTGATGTCATGCCTGACTATATTGCATAAAGTCACATGTTGTATTAACTTCTACAGTTGCAGAAATGCCACACTTGATTAATTGTCAGATATTTTCAGAAAAACAATAAGAAACTGTTTGTTTTAAGTAACACAATATAAATTGTCCAACTTTCACTATGTCAAAATAGTCACTTGTTTAAAATAGTGGTAAAATTTTTTTTCTAAGCAAGTTAATTTTTTATAAAGTATTGGCTAAAGAGTTTTACCATTTACCTCAGTCCTAGGTGTATTTAAAACATTTATTTATATGATGTACCACTAAATATTTATCAGACCTTACATGGGGGTCCTTATTAATAAAATCTTATATTGCTATCAAATTTTTTCATGTGATGATTGTAGAATAATTGTTTTGATACGATACCAGCTGGCAGATCTAGACAAGTTTCTATATTTGCTAATATTATAAAGTGGGGAAGGTAAAATGGCTGTAAAGATTGGGTGCATTTATCAGTTTGCACCCCGAATAGCGTAATAAGAAGTGACACCTTTTACTGCCTTTTTATACACATTAACAGTAGTCATACCAATGCATTGTGCTGTACATATGTTATAAGATTTAGTGTCAGTTTTTTAAAATCTTGAAAAAACTTTTGAAAATCGTTGAATAGACTATTGTGAAGTTTTCTACAATTTTTAGTGGCCCTGATTTATCTTTAACAAATTTTCCATGGTGATTACCCTGCTGTTTGAATTTAGGTTAAAATATTCCTGAGAGTAACCCGAGTGGGTCATATTGTTTTTATTGAATTTCTAAGAAAGATCAAGACTTGTTGAAAATGTACCAACCTGAAAATGAATAAGTGTTAATAGATGCATCCATAGCTAAAATAAGTTTAAAATATAAGTTCCCCTTCCATTTATTATTGGCTAAAAACAGCTTAACTGATTGAATATTGGTTGTCCAGGGATACTTAGACTGCAAAACCGACAGATTTTACAAATTGATATTACACAGATGTCTGCCTTTACAGGAAAACCGGCATATACGCCTACAATTTTTTGGTCTTGTCACGGCCGTTACGTCTCTACCAAATGGGGCACATTCTTGAATATTTCAGAATAATTTTATTTTGACCTTTATAAATTATTATATATATCTATTTATAGTCTAGCCATTTCATTTTGGGTCATCTTTTTACAATTTGAATAATTATTCTGGAAAAACGAAGTGCACAAATGATCTAAAGGTTTGTACAAAGATTAGTGTTCTAAACATTCATCAAATGGTACATTTATCTGGAAAAAATATTTCAGTCCCATCATGACAAAATACCTCAATGGAACCCCTTTAAATTGAATTACACTTTTTTTTAGTTTATGGGTAAATTCCATTTTCAGTGGTTGAAATTTTTCCTCTTTTCTGATTAATCAAGCTTTAGTTTCCCATTTATAAAGCCACAGGTTGTTTTGAAAGTTGAAAAAAAAATCACTGCCACCTTGATAATTGTTAACCTGAAAAATCTTCAGGCACATAAAGGGATTTGAACCCCAGACCTCTTGATTACAAGGCAGACACACAACCATGTCGCGAAAATGTCAACACAACAGCAAGACTGTTGGAAATGATCTATACCTGTTCTCAATACATGGTTGAAGTAATTTATCAGTGTTAATTAGACATTTTATATGATTTAACAATTTTTGACACTACTGATATTCACATTTTTTTCACAAATCTCCATGTAAAAAATAGATATCATAATAAAATGATAGAACATTTTCTATTTTAGTGGTAATACTGTGGAGTAAATTGCAATATGAAGAAATATTATTAATATTTTATTATCATAAATTTTTCAAATTTTAATTATGTCATTACATGCTGTACACAATCATATTATAGTGTAAACATATATATACATTGTATAGACACATATATACATTGTATATACCAGAGACGTTAAAATACATAAAATGTATTTATATGTCTCTGTATATACACACACTAAGAGAGTAGTATTAGATGATTTTGAAAATGAAATCTCTAAATTGATATTTTCAGGGAAATAAAAGATTATTTACTTTAATATTCACTTGGAAAGGCTGGTACATGTAGCTAGAAAAAAGTACAGTATAGAATTAAAGAAAGACTAGAAGATTATTACAAACAACAGGTACTTATATAATATTTAATGTATATTTCACAAACCAAACTGTTTTCCAAAAAAAATTAATGAAAACATGCATTTTTACCAGTGTCACCACGGGTCAGATTAACAGACCCATTCCCAGTGGCAAATAATGCCAAATATGCTTTTTTTCTTTTCCAAGTTTAGAAAAAAATCATAAGTCAAAATTCCCGTTATCAAAGCTGACAATTTTTCTTCATTCCATTTCAATCCAATATGGTACCAGACAGATGATGTTCAAAAACACATTCCATTGTCAATTTTTTATGTATTTTTTATGCTTTGAATGATATACAATTTGTTGGATTAACAACTTTGTACATGGTACTAAATATTTTTCCCAATCAAGATGCAAAATTTCTTAACCCATTACTTCATGAGCATTTTGTGAAAAATGGCTGTTTTCATTGAAAAGTCTCCCGTTACAAGTTCAAATTGCTATAATACTATAAAAACTGCTTCAACACTAATCAAACTTGGCACAAATGTTGACTGGACCATTGCCCTTGCAACAACATGCTCAGGCTTAAATTTTCTGTTACCATGGCAACGAGGGGACATTTCAAAATTGCCCAAAATCACTATTTTGCCTCGATTTTTTCAATCAAAATTGATTTCAAAGTGATGCCACTTCTCAATGGATTGAGATATAGTCAAATGCTTTTCAGCGTTGGTTACACGTTACCTTATGATCAATCTGGGGTCATTTACAGCCTCTCACAAGTCCAAAATTTTCTTGGCATCATGCTTAGAGTGGTTTCACACAGGTCAGTAAGACCGGTGTACACAATGTACTGTCTGCACATATGTGTCAGAAAAAAATATCACAAAAAAGGAATTTTGTATTACTATGAGTATTTATTAAAGAAATTGTATTTCAAATATATTTAAATAGTATTATTGAAAGTCATTTTGTATGACAGACACACAAATCTAGTGCTCTGCATTATAAATGTAAGAAGAGACAAATAAGATAAGCATTTTTTTGCAAATTATTGCACTTCATATAATTTGTATTGCTTTTTTTTAAGGTGGACATGTGTCACTGTCAAGCGAATGAAGATAAGCATCACACTCGGTGGGAATCTCCAGTTTCCAGATGTAGTGATCATAACTGTGTAGGCACCATTAACACTTTGGACTAGTTGGAGTATTTTAGAGGGCTAGTCTGAATTGAATCCCCTGTCAATAGTAAAGGCCAGTCATGAACATTGTGTTGAAGGAAAATGTTAAAACTCGGATTTTCCGCTTAACCAATCATTACTTTACCTTATAAATGTAGGTAATGTAGGAAATGGTTACTTTCTGGAACGGAGCTGTCAATTATTTTTAATTTTTTAGCTTGTTAGTGTTATCGTCGGACAGTTGTGAAGTAAAGACATCGCAGTTTGACTGTATACAAGTTGCCTTAAAGAAAGTCTGTCGAAATCTTAACAGTTATTTGTTGATTTTGTAGAAATTGACCAGAATTCACCTTTGTTTACATGCATCGCTTGGACGTCGAAAACGACATGCAATGACATTTCAGTGAAATTTGGAAACTTGCTCGTATTTTGAAGCATTTTGTAGGATTTCGATGAAGTAAAAAGTGTTTATGATAGGATACATTATTCCTAGAGACAACCACAAAGATAAAATAGTGATCTGGTGTATATTTACCGAACAGTTCTTGTTTGTTTTGCATGATATTTTTCTCTCGTTAGGGACCTTTATTCTTTATATATAGTATTATGAGCGTATATGGGTAAATGTGGTATATAGTGCCTGTGGTTTTAACATGTATCTTAGCTTGCCTGGTGTAATGATAAGTAATAAACCTGAGAATTGAAACTATGAGAATAAATTGTTGTTATTAGTCCCCTTATATTTTCATTAAGAGGGGACTAAAGGCTGACCCATTTCTGTATGTCAATGAAAGCTGAATTTTGCTATAACTTAAATGGTACAAAAGTAAGGTTCATCATACTGGTATCTGATATAGAACTATACAGAGATTTAGCATGTTATTATAATTTATGCTCCTGAAAGGGAGAGAATATAGTTGCGGTCTTAACCATCTGTCGGTATGGACTCAAGTAATATTATGGATAAATATCTGTGTTCATTCCATACAGACTTGTACTTTTGGGGAAAAAGGTTGCTCATGGGAGGAAAATATGTTTTTAATGGTGTTTTTGAGATTTTAGTTGATAAAGGAAAAAAAACATAGTCTGAACTTAGGAAGACATTTGTCCTTCACACTCTTGTCCGAAATATGAATATAACTAGATATGTATTGAAGGGATTTTATGTAAACTTCACAAAGTGATAGAGACTTTTAAGAGGAAGTGCAATGTTCAAGAAACATAACTCTACCTTGCTTCATGTTTTAATTATATCCCTTAAGTTAAAAATGCTTATTCCAAACTATCACTGAATCTACATCAACTTGAACGACTCGAATTTTCCAATGTGTCAAAGAACCATAACTCCATTCCTTAGTTTTTAGCTCACCTGTCACAAAGTGACAGGTCAAGCTTTTGTGATCCCTTTTCGTCCGGTCGTAAACTTTTACTTTAAATGACATTTCCTCATAAACCACTACGCTAATTTCATCCAAACTTCACAAGAATGTTCCTTTGGCTGTCACCTCTAAAAATTGTGCAAAGAATTTAATTCCATGCTGAACTCTGGTTGCCATGGGAACCGAAAGAAAAAACACTTTAAATATCATCTTTAAAAAAACCCTAAGAGCTAGAGCTTAGATATTTGGCTTGAAACATCCTTTAGTGAGTGTCTACCAATTTTGACCCGCCCCAGGGGAATTGATTTTCCCTATGTGCATATAGTAAAAACTTTATAAAATCTTCTTTTAAAGAACCCAAAGAGCTAGAGCTAAGATATTAAGCATGAAACATCATCTAATGAGTGTTTACCAAGTTTGTTCAAATAAAAGGCCCGGGGTCAAAATTGGTCCTGCCCCAGGGGGTCATTAATTTTCTTTAAATGCATATAGTAAAAACTTAAAAAAATCTTCTTTTAAGGAACTAAAAGAGCTAGAGCTAAGATATTTAGCATGAAATATCTTCTAGTGAGTGTTTACAAAGATTGTTAAAATAAAAACCCTGCTCCAGGGTTGTCATTGTTTTTAACAGTATGTGTTAGTAAAAACTTAAAAAATCTTCTTTAAAAAAAAACCCAATAAACTAGAGCTTTGATGTTTAGCATGAATCATCTTCTTATGGATGTCTTCCAAATTTGTTCAAATAAAAGCCCTTGGGTTAAAACTGGCCCTGCAGGGGGGGGGGGGGGTATATACAGGTGAGCAACCTCAGAGCCATCATGGCCCTCTTATTTAATTATCTACCTTTATTATACATGTACTTAATTATGCTTGTCCAGAGAAATACTGGAAAAGAGTTGATGAAATTTGATTAAACTTTTACACAGCGAAAATAATCAAGTGAAAGAAAGTGTTTTTTCAAAGAACCCTAATTTTTGTGTCGCCTTGAAAAGGTGACATAATAGGGGTTACTTTTGTCGGCGGCGTCTGTGTCGTTGTCGGCGTCCCCTAAAGCTTGTCCGGAGCATAACTCAGTCACTATAAGTCTGATTGACTTCAAACTTGGTATGCATGCTTCTTTTAATAACCCGAAGTGCAGTGCACAAGGACCGGTACTCTGCAGTTCTTATTTTTTGAGTTATTGCCCTTTGTTAATTTTCATACTTTAATTTTGTCCGGGCCATTTCTCTTCAACTAAAAAAGCTATGGACTTGATACTTCATAGGATGATAGATCTCATTAAGAAGAAGTGCAGTGCACAAGAACCAGTACTCTGTACTTCCTAATTTTTGAGTTATTGCCCTTTGTTAATTTTCATACTTTATTTTTGTCCGGGCCATTTCTCCTAATGAATAAAAGCCATGGACTTGAAACTTCATAGGATGATAGGTCTCATTAAGAAGAAGTGCAGTGCACAAGAACTGTTACTCTGCATTTCTTATTTTTTGAGTTATTGCCCTTTGTTTATTTTCATACTTTAATTTTGTCCGGGCCATTTCTCCTTAAGTATAAAAGCTATGGACTTGAAACTTCATAGGATGATAGATCTCATTAAGAAGAAGTGCAGTGCACAAGAACTGGTACTCTGCATTTCTTATTTTTTGATTAATTGCCCTTTGTTGCTTTTCTTTCTTTATTTTTGTCCTGGTCATTTCTCCTCAAGTATGAAAGTTATGGACTTGAACCATCATAGTATGATAGATCTTATTGATAAGAAGTGCAGTGTTCAGAAACTGCTGCTCTGAACTTATTATTTTTTTAGTTATTGCCCTTTGTTATTTTTCATATTTCATTTTTGTCCTGGCCATTTCTCCTAAACTAAATTGTTCACAAGGCGACACATCCGACTCGCGGAGTTCTAGTTTCTAGCTTAATCTTACAATTATCATCTCTTAAAATACATGTACAACAACTTTTAAAATAATGGTTGTCTGGAGTAAATCTTTTCAATGATATCACACTCAGTTGTAGAGACTAGTGAGCAGAAGTCTTGTGTCAAATAACCAAAATTCTACATTACTTAGTTTTAGAATTATCTCCGTATATATTTCATGATACTGTTCTGAGAGAGGATTAAAATATTGAAGGAATTGAAACTTTATAAACGTTTTACAGTGAAAGAGATTAGCACGAGAATTGCAGTAAACAAAGGCCATTATAAGTTCTAATGACATGGTCACATTCATATAATGTGATGCAAAAAATATTGACCATTTGAGTGTTTACTTGATACTGATACAGAAAATTTGATATATACCACAATTGATTATTTTTTCATAGCTTTGTCTCCCTTTATAATGTCATGTATTAAAATAGTCAAGCTTGCAGTTTCCTCTGGTAGATCTAATTTCACTTGTTGCTCTTGTCAAAAAAGGCCAATAACGGTTTATGATCGACCTACACGTACATGTAACCTAAATATTATATTTGAACATGTGTGTCATAGAATAATTGTATCAACTACTGTTCATTTACTGAATTGTGCAGTTTATATTTATCAACCGGCAACACCCTTCACTCATTGAATTATCTGCCCCGAAATAGAAAAATAGTTATTTGATCCTTCATACGTCCCAACTGCAGTGCCTTCAGCACTTTGATTTACACTCCTGTGTCGTCGCGGTTTATGTGATAAAGAATCATATGACTATTACTCTTTAAGAGAGACTAGGACTGATCACAATTTATTGATTTATTGATAATGAGAAAAAAAAACAACAATTTCATGAAACTTTGAAATACAACAAGTGAATCCGAAACGACAGTGTTTGCATTAAATGGATAATAAATAATGTAATTTGCTTTCTGTAAGAAAATATAACATGTTGCTTTCAAGCCGGGGTAATTATGCATCAGGCCTTATCTTGCCAAGATTCCTGCTGGAAAAGAAAGTTTTTCTTTTGTTATAGTTAAACTCGCATAATACTTGTAGAGCAATGTTTCTGTCAGTCAATTTAGAAATAAAAATGTGCTACAACAACAAAACTATATACGCTATATTTATTTTATTACCATCTTCGTATAGTTGGAATAGAGACAGTAAGTTCGTTCATTTCTTCAGTGATTTCCTTGCCCAGTACGCATAAACTATATTTTTAGTTTATTGTCAACATTGTAAGGCTTAAAAGCAATGACAGACGTCCTTCAAATGACCTTTGTTATAATGATATTCATCATAGCATAAAACTACCGTAATGGCAACTTAACAAGGATGTGGTTATCGGTAAATTTAAATTGCTCATTCTGGGAAATGGCTCCTGAAAATCTACAGTAAAACGACAATGTAGATATTTGTTTATAGAGTTGCCACGAAGAAACATTTATCTTCATTACCAGTTATCTATTTTGATGATATACAGATAGTCTTAATCAATGTTTAACACTATAAATTAAAATTTTACAATATTTTAGTGAAAGAATCGAGGATATCTACTATTGCATATATTATTGTCTTCGTAACAACTCCCCTCAGGTTAAAATAAACTAGAAAAAAACAACTAAAAAGAAAAACTAAAAAGAGAAACTGAAAAATTTTAATAGATCAATTAGGACTCTTGAAAAGGAAACAATAAAAAGATAATAAATAGATATACTCAGAAATAAAATAAGCGAATAATCTGAAATGTTGAAAAAATTAGTCCTGTCGTATCAATGTTCTTTAGTCATGTCCATCTATGCAGGATTCTTTTCAAACATTAAAATTAAAAGATTTATATTTGAAACAGTT